TGTTTGTCTACATTGAAAGAAAAACATATTTTAAATGCCTCTTCTGCCAAGTTTATGCAATTCCCAATTGAGAAGAACTAGCTTGTTGATTGCTGTGAATAAAAAGAAAACTGCAGTGAAAAGGGTAACTAAGGTCCAAATGATATTTAAGGCAGATTTAGGCCAGGGAGTTCAAAACTCACAACCATCATTCTGAAAAAGACAAAACACTAAGACATACCTCTAAAGTGTGGGGCAAGTTAGCCATAGTGATTCTGGGAAATGAAATCAAAAAAGTAACTTTTCTATGCATCTATTCTATGTACAAGATGATAACATAAATATCAGATGCTGCACAAATTCACCCATTCTCTTCCAGGTTCTGAAGATACCTGGGCACAAGGTGGCTATAGCCTACAGAAGATTGCACTGAACACTTTGCCACATGATCAATAGAAGTCATGGACCAGTAAATGACTGCTCTCTGCTTAAGAAAACTGTCTGCTTTCTCCCTCAGTTTTTATAGGAAAACTCGGTGTTCAACCATCAAGTCTTTCCTTCCCTACATGAAGGCAAGCAGCATTCTCTTCCACAAGATCTCACTTCTAGAAGAAGATGACAACACCTGGTATTCATTGGCTGCCATTTAAACTGGGTTGTTCCTCCTTAACTTCCAAGACCAGACAGGACCTGATGTATTTAGGATTTTATTTACGCTATAGAGTGCCTTACAATTGGTGTTTTAGTGTCCACTGGGATTTGGTTCCAGGGCTCTCTGTGAATACCAAAATCCACAGATACAATAGCACAGAAAAAATGTGTCCCTTATATAAAATGGGAAATCAATATTTGCTTTTGGAAATGTAGACCAAAATTTAGAGAAAAGCTATGCATAGTTGAACCCATTGATACAGAATCTGTAGATAGAGAGAACTGACTGAGATACAAGTAGGATGGAATCAAGAAAAGGAACAGATGCAGTTGGCGCACTAGTCTGAACTGTGAGGATGGTCTCCAGGACACCACCAAAACCTGAGTACAACTATGATGGAGCCAATTTTTAAAAAGGGAATCAATGCCAAAACATGTTTTATTTTAGGGCAGCATGTATTTTATATTCTGGTATTATAGCTAAAAACAAAAAACCCAGTAACTACTGTATTAAGTGGCTTGAACAGCCATTCCTACAAAGGAGTGAGGAAATGTAGGTTAACAGTATGGATACTGATATATTGGTATTGATGTGCAGGTGTAGACAGGCATCATCCCTCTTTTGGACACAAGCACCTCTTAGCAGCCAATCCTGGTTATTTAAAAGGTCTGCTCAGTTCTGAGCAGCAAGATTAATTATTCTATTTTTGAAGCACAGGCAATTAATATTCCCTACTTAATTAATTCAGAGTCTAAGATCATTTTTCTCCCAGGGGAATGCTAAAATAGATTATTGAAGCTGAAAAGAACTTAAAAGAGGGAAGTGTAGGGAGAGATAAAGTATTGAAAATTGTTCACACTGTGACTCATGATGGAATAGTTAACTATTTTTGCAACAGCAAATGGTGGGTAGGGTGGGGTAGATTGAAAACCTGACAGAAACTCAAGGAAATCATTGAGCCGCTTCTCAGCATCAATGTAGAGCTAGGGAAGGAGGGCTAAAACTATTTTATGGCTACTGTGCTTGACCCTGCAATGCCTTGCATCATCGTCCTTATTTACATGGCCACTGAATCACAGACCCACATATTTACCACATGGGCTGGAATCCACAAGTGCAGAGTGTTGTAGAGATACCTTTTCAAGTACATACAAACCAAGAATTGGCAACTTGGAAGTCCCTGAACAGACTCAGAAGTGGTGTTGGGAGATCAAATGACAACCTGGCAAAATGGCTCCACCCTGTGCGATTGTGGAACAGAACAAACAACTCAGCATCGGTATGCTTGCCCACAATGGCCTGCCTCATGCACAGAGAAGAACTGTTTAAAGCTACAGACAATGCAATCGCCATTGCTCGTTTTTGGTCTAAAACTGTTTAGCTGCTTGTGCTCCCTTTATTTTATCAGTTTTATACTTATTATGCAATGATTTTGACACAAAATAATAATAAGCACATACACATACAACTATGCTGTCCCCATCTTTTTTTATATAAAATTTATTTGCTGAACACTACAAATTCACGAAAGCTAAACCAGTTGGTAAAAGTAGAGTGGTCCATTAATGTAAGGTATTTTAACCACATATTTACTCTTGGGGAAAACAAACATTATTGAAAGAGTGAGCAGCTGGGAAGAAAAATAACTTGCTTATTATATATGTCAGCTTGTTTCAAGGTACCGTTATGTTATGCCTACAAGGATATGGCAATTGATTCAAGTGCTGGCACATCAAATTCCATGTACTGTTCAGACACATGATTCCCACCACACCAAAGAAATTGTCCTAATACATCACACAGCAAGGAGCCTCTTAGGGCAGACATCCTCCATTTCTTTCATAAGTATAGACTTTGATTGGAGCTCCTTTTGGCTCCCAAACCAGAATCTTCATGCGTAACCTAAGAACCCAAACAGAACCCAAGTATTCACGATGCATTAAAGGAGAAAGATAGCCAGTGTCCTGCCACCCAGTGGATTTAACAAAATATTGCTATGTCCATGCAAAAGCTTCAGACCACCAACCTGAAACCAAAAGAATCCCCAGCTTCCCAGGTTTAATAGAGCCTGATAAATATCCAAACCAAAGAGACGATTAGCCAAAAAAAGGAGAAGGGGAAAGGACTGATGTTGAGACTGAGGGAGGGAGTATGCTGGGAGCGGTGCAGGTATAGGAGTGGACCACAGACACTGAAGCAGGGAGGTCTTCCCCAGAGGTCAGCAGAGGAAAAGCCATCCCATTTCCACCTGCCAGAGAATGGCAGTGAAATTCTAACAGTGGACTGAGTTGCAAGCAGGTGAGTCAAGCTCTGAACTGACCAATTTCCCGTGGAGAATGGAATCCACCAATAATAACGTGGCCACAGCAATGCTTTTCACATGATCAATGACACCCTCCATCTCCACAATCTGGTTCCAGATTCACCAGTATTTTAGAAATAGTCAGTCCAGAGCACTCTAAGGAGTGAGATATAGGTCAGAGGAAAAGGATTTGGCTAGTGGGGAAAATTAATAGTAAACTTACAACTATACACAGTCAGGGAAACATCTCAAAACCTGGCCACTTCAACATCCGTGCTGTAATGGAAAAACAGAGAGGCTGTTTATAGACTTGCATTTAGCAGGTAGGCATACTCCACAGGAAATTCAGAGACATAGCTGTGTTAATTTGGATCAGTCTGCAAAAGGATCTTGTAGCACCTTTAAGATTTGGGAGAAAGAGGTTGGTAGCATAAGCTTTTGTAGCCTAAGCCTACATATTGGATGAAATGGGCATAAGCCTACAAAAGCTTATGCTGCCAATTTCTTTTACTCAGTCTCTAAGATGTTACAAGATGCTTTTGTCCACATGTAATTGTGATTGAGGGGAGAAAACAGTTACTTGAACTGGGCACATCACATTGGTTACCCTTGGCATTTAAAAAAATTGCCTCCAACAAGTGCCACTGATTATATAAGAAAGGAGATAAAATACAGGCAAAGGCTCTCCTTATTTCTGGACTGTCCATAGATTAAGAAGAAAAAGCCATCACATTCTTTGTAAACCAAAAAGTCATCATCTGAACACACCCCTTATTCTTCTTAAATAAAAGTGGGTAAATGTCTCCAAAGAAATGGCCACGCTTTGTGTCTATGTATCTTTATGTCCCGTCAACTTATGTTATGAATTTTGTAGGGATTCACAAATGTGGTTTTGCCAGACTCTTTCTCTATAGCACCTAGTATTCATTTACTCTTAAAAACTTTCAATTTCAAGAGCATATGGAAAAAAGAAGTCACATCAGTGGATGCCTGATGTGACTATCAGCAGCTACCACCACATGAGGCACACAGCCTCTGTAAGCTGAGAAGTTCGCGTTGCATGATGTGTTCACTTTGATTACCCTGTAGATAATGTGTCAGCATTTGGAGGGAACAAAACCACATTGGCTGCAGCAACTGAATTGTAGACTTAGCTTAGTGTACTCTTACAAAACCTAAAATTCGATGCTATAATAGCATGCTAACCAGCCACTAACAAAGCCTGTTTGCTGGATTGTCATGTTGAGGTTGACACAAGGTGGGGAGATGATAAACTGATTCATCAGTTTTTAAGATACAGTTGCAGGGATGACTCACCAAGCAAAACTATGACAAATGAATGGAACAATTCGCTCTATTACCTTGATTAAAATACCTTTTAGCTTAAGTTGGCCTTCACAACAATTTATTTAAAAGTACCCAACTTATTTTTTTGCCAGCTAACCAAAATGGATGGCCAGCAAACATTTTCTGACTTTTGAGACTTATTTCCTAAAAAGGTTGAGCAGTTTAGCTACTAATGATCTCTATGGGATTGCATGTGTTGCTCTCCTAGCCTGAGCATTTCATCTATGAATATATAACTTGCCCTATAGGATTGTTGGAAACATTTATGAAAAGCATAGAAGGAGTAATATGTGCCTTCAAAAAAGCCTAACACAGAGCAGGGTCGGAAGCAGGATGAAAGTGGTTGTTGAATTAGGGTCCTTTTCTACATTACGGGCAGTCCACAGGTTACAAACAAGATAGGTTCTATAAAGTTGTTCTTAAGATGAATTTGTATGTCAGTCAGACCAGATACATTTTTTAAGTGCAACTCTACTCAAAACACTTTTAAAAAGTTTTGAATAGCATAAGGGAGGGTTCACATCCCTGTGGTGTTTGCTTTCCTGCCTGTGGCCCTGTTCAGTCTCACCCTAGAAGTAACTAGGAGTCGGATGTAAGTTGGAGGTTTATAACTTGGGGATTGTCTGTACAAACAATTGGGAAATATTGGGTAACACACACCAATGAGTGCATAAAGTGTTTATTATAACAGAATACTAAATAAAATCACCCAAGCCCAACTCAATGGAGGAAATCAAACTTTTATTGAAACATATCAGTACAGGGCAGATTTGCTCCAGTGTTTTGTTTTCTGCTCATTTTTAAGAAAAACAAAACAAAACAACTCCCAACATACCCAGCACTTTTACAGGTTTTGCACAGGTTTTGTGTAATGTTTTGCTTTCTATGTTCATTATTTTACTACAAGATGTCCCAAATGTAAAAGTCTTTTGAGCAAAGTATGACAACAATGTAAGGTTGTTACATATGCTTCAATAGCTGTTATAGAAAACAATAAAATCTTTGTTATGTGTGGAGAGATAGAACTTTTATATATACATTTCATCAAGATAATATTGCCAGCAGACTCCCATACAAATCAAAAATTGTATTTTTTTAAAAAAAATATCAGGGTCATAATGGGAATGCAGCTTCACATTGTAGATTTTCAACTGTAAATGAAAGTGTTAGTCTTCAGATGACAAAACTGCCCTGAATTTAGAGACTGAAAAATATGTATCAGCGGCCATTAATTCCAATCCTATCCATTTTCACCTCTGGAGTTAATTAAGACACATAAAGAAGATTGACAACATTTTAAGACATTAAGCACTTGAATTTTGCCCAAGTCATCCATTCCCAGCTGTAGTCCAGCCCCAGACACAAGCCGTCCTGCCACCCCTCCTCCTTCCACTAAAAATGAAAAGACCCCAAACAAAGCCCCTCCGTGATACAAAGAGAAAGTCTTTGGATTGATCTGGCAAGCTGCATAATTCAAAACGATGTCCATCCTTCCCAGCCTTCTACTCCAATAACCCAGGAGCACTAATAGTGAGGTAACCATGCCTTCCTAGAAAAATACATATATACACATCTATGTATATCTATGTATACATAAAATAAAACCCTTTTAAAATGGCTACTGGGTTAGTGCTCGGTTAAACTGGCAGGGTCAAGCAAACAGTCCAATCCTTCCTGAGAACATGCCATTGCTCACTGCTAAATCATCCCCCTAGCTTATCCACTGTCCTTAGAGCCTACTAATGGGGTGGCCTGGGGTCCCCTAGCATCTCTATGCACCTTTCCTTTCGACAACAGAAATGGGCAGCATGGTAACCTTCAAAGGAGGGGAGTGAAAGTAACAGTGTGCACACCATAGGCCATGCATATTTGTTTCTAGAATTTTTGATAAGGAAAAAAGTCTCTATTTAAAGGGATAGTGCAGTTCTTTTTTTTAAAAAAAATCATGTATGAAGTACAAAGAGAGTGAGAGCGCAAGAGAGCATGATGCAAGATCTCTATCTGGTTTGTTTTACATGTAAACTGCATCCAGGCGGTGGTCGTGATGGCTGCTGCTGTTGCTGCTGCTGTTGTTGCTGTTGTTGTTGTGAGGACTAGTAATCTTGGCTTTGATATTTTCTGCTCAAACAAGGACATCTACACATGTGGGGGGAATTTGCAGCATCATGGGTTCCTTAATGTTCACAAGAGTTCTCAATCCAAAGGCGAGAGATGACTTTCTCTTTAAAGAAGAAAGGGACGGCAAATTGTGCAGAAGGAGAAGAAAGAAAAGAAAAGAAACAGAAGGGGACAGGGAAGCAGAAAACTCTTCCACCAAGCAGCAGCCACCTTTCCTAGTCAAGGTTCCTTTGCTCACACTGTAGATACCAAAGTGCCGCTGCCGCTGTGAAAGAGAAAGAGAAAGCAGAGAATGCCGCCAAACCAAGCTTCACACAAGAGAGAGAGAGAGAGAGGAAAGAAAGGCATCTGACGGACCACAGCTAAGCAGTAATGCTTCTTGAGTGCAACCCACTCTGCCAAGCATTTGGTTTGGGGGCTGGGCGTGGGGCAGAAAGATAGAATAGAAAAGGGAAAGTTCTAACAGCACCCTCAGCCCTTTAGAAGTCGGGTACAGCTCACGAGTGCGGTCCTTCCTGTTTGCACTCAGTCCATTAGTAGTGACCATGACACTGGGAGCAAGGCAGGGTGAGAACCTGCCTGCCTTTAGTTTTCCTCTTTTGTGACATTTTAGTTACATTTCATTAAAATATATTCACTGGCATCCTGCTAAGTAATTACAACTGTGCAAGCTAGACCTACAACATCACCTTCATACTTACAATTGAGGCATGGTCGCAAATACTGTAAAATCCACCTTAAGAGCCAGGCAGCCATACCAAGTGAAATTCTATGTCATGGGCAAGGAGGTTCCTAAAAAGATGACACCTTCAGCTACATCCCACAACGAGCCTCAAAGTGGTGAGGAATTGCACCATGATCTCGCAGGACCCTTGTTTCACCAGAGTTTGCTGGTTGAGGGCTGAATGTGTCATCCTTCTCTGCCATTCATCAATGCAGCAGAACTCCTTCATTTTGGATAACTGCTTGGCTTTTAAGATGGTTTTTGTGATGAAACTTAACATTGCCATGACATTGTAGCTATGTGACCCATCAAAATATTAGCCATTGACTTTATTTTGGGTTTCCATTTTACAGCTACAGATATGGTCTTTCAAAACCTTTTGCTATGAGAAAATGTTTTCCATAAAAGATCTAGCATTTCTCAGCCCAACAAACAATGTGAAATGCTGAGGCCACCTCCTCCTGCTTGGGCTCAGCAGCTCCTTACAAATTATTCAACCATCATTAGTCACCTGGACATAAAAGCAGTGGTTCATCAAAAGGGGAAGATTTGTGGAATTGAATGAATTTCATTATTTTTTTTCAACATTCACAGAGTTTCAACAAGGAATATCACATCTGAATCAGGCTATTGGCTCAACTGGCAGGTAGCCCATCCATATGCTAGAGAAATCAAATACATTGCAGAAGTTCCTAAGGCATGGTCCCGGACACATCTTCCACCCTGTGGCACAATTGTAGGAGAAAACATTGAGCTGAAAATTATGCAGCCTTCCAGATGTTGCTGGAGCTGTAACCAATGAGGAAGATTTTGGGGAGTTGCAGTCCAACAACATCTGGAAGGCTGCTATGCCCTGCATCAATTGTAACACAATTTATAAACACACCCAATACTCTTCTGTCCCTGCACAATACAGTGAAAAATCTGTAGTTGTGTACAAACTGCCATCTAGTGAAGTCTATCCACCAGTATTAACCTTCTCTTTAGGGATGTTTACACCAGGGTAAAGAACACAATATGCTCCCAAAAGGTTTGCTACAACTGCCATATAACATGGTTACTGGCCATGCTGGGGCGGCTCACTTTCTGATGGGAAGTCTGATGGGAAGGGTCATTGTCCACAGCTTTTGAAAAGCACTCAATTGCCTACTGGTTATTCTTTGATTTGGATGTAACCACTTTCATTACAGTATTATATACCCTGTGAAAGTTTGTACATAAATTCTGTACATCAAGAAATAAACTCTTCACACATTGTGTTGGAAGGTTAGGGTTCTTCTGTTTTCCACTGCCTCATGCGAGAAGTAGTTATATGCAATCTCCTATCAAAAGATATTGCAGATTGTCTTAATATCTGCAATGGGTTTGAAAATGTAGCTTCTTACCTGCTTGAGGGTCTTGCTCCATAGTCATCCAGGCCCTGCAGCAAAAGAAAGGGAAAAAAACAAGGATGTCAGTTATATAAAGACAAAAGGTGCAACTGCACTGACTCAACTGTTTTCAGGTTCATAGTCAAAGTGTTTGGTCTCAAAAGGGACTAGCTACTCAAATTGCACAGTCGGGCAAGTAGGCAAAATGCAGCATCACAACAGTCAACTGCTGCCCTCACTGTTTTTACAGGCTCTCTCCAGACAACCCTTTTCCTGGCAAAACAAGATGAATTATTTTTCTTGGGCGCCTCAATGAAGAGCAATTCAGAAGAGGTCACAAGCATCCCCTGCACTGTTTAACATTTTGAAAAAAAAAACCCACTTGTTTTTTTAAATAGAAATGGATGTCCAAACATTTCAGTCTTTATGTTTAGGTATTTTTTTAAAAAATTCAACAACCCTGGAGAGTGCTAAGGCCAGAAAACTACCCCTTAGATCCACAGAAAGTGTCCATTGATAAATGACAGAGTCACACTCCTTTCCTTAGTACATGACTTCGGATAGGAATTAAGAAGATGAATGCAAGGTTCTTTTGCTCAGTTCTGTCTTGGGAGAGTAGAGGTAGCCTCCAGCTTACAGACATGCAGTACAAGAGACTGAAGGAGGGTTGTGTGCTAAACATGCTCCAGAAACATCCAGTGGAAACAGCAAATTGAGAGCCCGGCAATGTCCACTGGAAACAGGAACAAGATCTGTAGTACTCCATTTCTTTGGGGCATTCTTGTTTCCCATGAAATCAATGCCAAAGAGATGGTTCGCAACATCAGTGGAATAGATGAAACAGGAGCAACAGTGCAGGGAGAAATCAGTCTGTCTGTTTCATCTCCGTGCTCTGATGTGTACAGAGAAGGAAAGGAAAACTACAACCGCTTATTTTTCCTCTTTGAAGTCAATGGGTCAGCAGCATCAGATCACCAGTCTAGCTGTGATACACTTTGAAGTTCTAGTGACAGGTGTGGTGAAGTTGTGGTCCTGGATAGCTCTGGAGAGTGTAGAGAATACTTCCTTATTACGCACAGTTCTGCTCAAGACCTGTAGAGGAGACCTGCTTGCCATAGTCAAGCCAAATGCAGCAGACACAGAACTGTTAATGCTCTCTAGAGCAATCATTCCAGTCACTTTCACCTGACCCTTACTGACAAATGTCATCTTATCTAGACAAAAATGCAAGGTTTGAGCAGTTCAAAGGCTCCAGGACACCATGAGCTCAAATATTCAAGACAGTGCACAACCACATTTGAACTCCATGGTCATTCTTAGGCTGAACCAAATTTTACTGAAGACGAGTCACATTAGCCATTCACTGTTATAACTAGCTATCACATATCTGTGACTAGAGAAAAGAGCTTCCAAGTAGAAGGTAAGGACATGAGCCTCAGAATCCTCCTTGTAAGAAACCAAACACTCCCTGTATTGTAGCTAAGCAACAAGCATAAAGTTATACTATAGCTTGTCTACTCAAGGAATCCCCCTTCATTCTCATTCTCACCCAGGTAAACCTTCCAGTCTTAAAAGTAGCTGAGAAATTGGTTGAGTACTGCTTACTTTCCTTCTTGCCCTCTTTTCTCTCTTTTCTTTCAGAAAGTCTCCAGTGCTTTGGCTCGCTACAAACAAATTTACTGCAAATAAATTGAAGGACAGAGGCAGTAAATTTGGTTGTAAAGAGTCAAAGTATTGGAAATTTCCTTTGAGAAAAGAGGGCCAGAAAAAAAGTCTACAGTAGTACTAATATTCTCCAGTTTGACATATTTAATTGATATCTTACATTCCATTTTTGCTTAAAAAAATTAGCTTAATGAGGCTGAAAATATAATAATAATAATAATAATAATAATAATAATTTCTTAGAGGATACAATTGTAAGTGCAAATTACAAACAAGCTTGCTCTGTGAAATTCCAATCTGCCCTTTCCTTTCCAATACATTGGGTAGACTTACTTTCCCTATATCCACTTACTTACTCACCCTTTTACAATCTTTTAATGGTTAGTGTTGTCTGATCCATTGGGTCTAGTCTTACCGCATCTCTAGAAACAAGACCCAATTTTGAGGTCTGAAAAGTCTGGGAGGGGAAAAATAAGCTTTGCTGACATGTGAGCAACTTATTTCTAGTGCTAGACACGAATAGAACACCCAAATGTTACCAGTTGGGTTTTTACATTCCTGTTTTGCTGCCACTCTTTGTGTCTCACCCATCATTATTTTGCCAGTTGGTTATTTTGTTTTTCTCTGTTAGGTTTTGCTTATTCTCCTCCTCCTGCTTCTAGTGGGAAGATGAAGGTGGGAAGAAGAGAGGCGTGCAAAGGCACACATATTGGGTAAGTCACAAAGAGATTTTCAGCAGAAAACATGCTAGAAATCCCAATGGAAACATTGTGTTCTTGGGACTTACGGCTGTTGACCTAGGGTAAGGCTGGTAGGAGGCTGGTAGCATTGGGCAGAGGCCACTGGAATATTCATTAATGGCACAGCCGTAGGGCATAAGGTACTCCTATAAATAATGAACACAAGCACCTGTTGGCAAGCCAAGCCTCACCTGCTATAAAAAGATCTAGGTTAGAAAACAGACACTTGGGGAATGTTCACTTCAACAGTGTTGCAACCAGGACACCTTCTAGCAAAATGACCTCCCATGCACCGAAGGTGCAGACACAGCTCTTTCCTTGGGCTCAGCTCTATTTCTGCTCCTTGGCTACAGAAAACAATTTCATCTTCTGCAAGTGTGGCACATGCATGACATTAGAACATGCCACAAAAGAAGGTGGGGAGGAAACTCCTACATCAAAAAGGTGCTTCATTGTTTTCCCCTACTGGCATTCTACTTTTAAAGAGGCACATGTTTCTCAATATGCCTTCTTTAATTACAGCAGTGTTTTCAGCAATAGGGAGGAATAACCCATATGCATATGCACCTTCACTGCCCCCCACCCAAGAAAAGTCAAAGAAGGGCTCAGAAATCTTGTTGCTTGCAATATAGTGAACATTCCACAAACATAATTATCTGACTCACAATCCCTTATACACAGCAGCAGAAGAAGAAGAATCCCAGATAGATAATGCTGTTCAAATTAAAGCATTATGTGCCATTCTCTTATGGTTTTTCTTGTTGTTTGTTTTTTGCCAGATTGAGCCCTGGTTTTGTTGTTGTTTATTTGTTCAGTCACTTCTGACTCTTTGTGACATCATGGACTAGCCCACACCAGACCTCCCTGTTGGCTGACACCACCCCCAGCTCCTTCAGAGTCAAGCCAGTCACTTCAAGGATACCATCCATTCATCTTGCCCTTGGAGTCCTGGTTAGTTCCCCACATAGTTCCATTCATAGACTTCCATGCAGGACATATTCCAGTTGGAAGCCTCCAATGCATGGTTGTTTTCTCCTTCTGTTCCAGCCTCCCAGAAGCTACAAGTTCACCTCTTTGCTCACTCTTTGCTCACAGTTGTGAATTCAAATGGCTGTAGTACAGCCAGCCAATCAAATAATATAATGGGTCTACTTTGGCGGAGACCTGTACTTAAAGAGGCCTCGGGCCTCCATCTTGTTAAAGTCATTGTCCCTATAGGCAAGAGACCCCCATTCCCCCTCCTCACAACATCTCTCTCTTTTTTTTGGATGAAAGGGGGGGGGGGGAGGTCAATTTCACTTTGCCTCATGAAGCTCCAGAATCTAGGCCTGGCATGAGCTGCTTCTAGTTCAGCTGCCAGTAATTAGGACCATGGAGAGTACTTTACTATTTCCATTGGACAATGGATGTATCTTGTTAGGCGCAATGCAAAATGTTCCTCACCTGGGCGAAAGCTGGCACTGCCACACTGTATGGCCTCTGTTTGAAAGTGCTCACATTCTGTGACTGGAAACCTCGGGAGGACATGCTGTAGTCTGGTGGAGGGATGTCATCTTTGTCCAGCAGGTTGCCTGTACTACTGCTTTTACCTTGGCTTAAGAAATAAGAAACCTTTTGTTAGTATCTGCATCCTCACAAGGAAACACCTATTACAATCCTTTCTCACCTCCCTATAGACGCACAGGCCTCTCCCACTAAGAAACCATTAAATAATAAAACTGTAAAGGTACCAAGACAGCAGAGGTGTAGCACAAAAAGTGACTTTTCTAAATTCTAATTATTTCAAGGAAATCTTCTTGCCCTTGCCAAGTTCTTCTTGGCCACCACATTTATCATTATGAAAGAATCTGATGGAAATAATCTCTTCATACATATTTGGCCTGGGTTGCTCTTCATCTACACATACACTTTGAAACAAAGCCTGCTATTCTGGCTTGACAGTAAATTACTGATGAAACATGAGCCAGACGAGCGCAGTGGAATAAGCCAGAACAGATCCTGCTTCTGGCTTATTGAAGGTGGGGTTCATCTCTGTAAACACAAAGAGTCATTGAAGAGCCAGATTTCTGTATAACCTTCTTACCTTATGTGTAATCTGTCATTCCCTTCACTGTCCATCACTCGGGTATAGGAGAAAGGGAACCAGCCTCTCCTACAATAAGAGATGGAAAAGTTCACGTTCTCCTTTTGTTTACAGGGAACATAAACATGAAGACTGTGAAAATTGCAGAAAAGGTCTGTCCCTATCTCAGATTATTTCTCTGAGAAACACCCAGGTTTTCTTTTTTAACTAAGAAGGTGATAGCATACTACAGAGGAAGTACAGGCAAGAAGTTACTTTGAATACAAGACGAATGGAAATAGTTAAAGGTTTGAAAATTCTGACCGGTGGCTTATGTTTTTGAGCATTCACAAAACATTTTCCCTACTCTCAGCATCCCTTCAATATACTCCATTCAATTTCAAGATTCAAGATGCTGAAAATCTATAAAACAGTCCAAATTCTTTTGCTACAGATATAAGGGGCTGGGAAAGTATCTTGTCCTGTATTATAAGTCTAGGGGGGGGGGGGGGGGAAAAACTTATTCAAGCATAGACAAGGATATTCTTCTTTCCAACAACAGCAGTAAGAGTGGTGTTGCAGTTTGAGTGTTGTATTAGGACTCTGGTTCAATGCAATGGAAATTCACTAGATGAGCTTTTGAGGAATATCAAAATTAATGCAACTGGATGCAAAAAGATCGATCATTTTAAAGTTTTAAATGGATTATATGATACTCTGTGTTTTAACAACAAAGTTGTTGTTGCTTATTTGTTCAGTCACTTCTGACTCTTCATGACCTCATGCCAGAACTCCCTGTAAGCTGTGGCCACCCCCAGCTCCTTCAAGGTCAAGCCAGTCACTCCAAGGATACTATCCATCCATCTTGCCCTTGGTCGGCTTCTCTTCCCTTTTCCTTCCATTTTCCCAAGCATCAGTGTCTTCTTCAAGCTTTCTTGTCTCCTCATTACGTGGCCAAAGTACTTCATCTTTGCCTCTAATATCCTTCCTTCCAGTGAGCAGTTGGGCATTGTTTCCTGAAGTATGGACTGGTTTGATCTTTTTACCATCAAAGGCACTCTCAGAATTTTCCTCCAACACTACAGTTCAAAAGCATCTAACTTGGTACCTAGTACATCAAGGTACAAGGTAATACTGCAAACTGCATAATTCATACTTTGCTTACAAAACCTGAACGTTGCTGTTCTAAGCTTTAACAACAGGATAGCCACTGGTCCCCCTGCTACTCTACCTCTTAACTGCTCAAGCAAGTGGAGGGAAAAGCTCATATTACACTGAAAAGATCATATTACACCAACCCTTTTACACTGGTGCAAAACTGGCCAATTATATTTTAGTGAGGTTGTGGGACACACAAACACACAACATTCCAATATCACCTGATTCAAGAATTTTGCATTGGAGGGCTAGCTTTATTACAGGAACTTGTGGTGTAAATAAATGTTTTAAAATGAGCAATGTCATGCCAAATCTTGAACAGCAAAAACATTAAACTGTTCCAGTTCATTCAGAAGCCATACTGCTGGACTCTTGAGCCTTTGGTCTTTGAAGTGGGTTGCAAGCACCTGTAGACTCATCAGCATCCTGCTTCCAAATTGCCCCTAGTCCCAGATCACCATTGTGATATTTGCTTAGAGACTAAACCATTATTAAAGCAGACTAGCAGTGCTGCACCTTCATTGCTCCTCCCTGTCCTTTAACTCTAGGGATTCAAAACTCTATTGTGATAATCAAGCCAGCCAACTCCCATTAGGAAGGACAGCTAGCATTTTGATCCATCAAAAAAATTCATTTTGGCTTCTGAAGATAAGGTGAACACTTTTTTTAAGGTGGGAGAGTAAGATTTCAGGCTCTAAACACTGAAAGTCTGATTATGAGATTGGAGACTGAGAAAGAATTCACAAATATTTAGTGATTGTAAAGGAGCTTACATACACAAACGTTGCCAAGCAACCAATTTGCCCCCATACCTCTGAAAACAGACGGTGGAAAAGCAAACCCGATAGATTAGTCTACCCCATTATATCTTTTGTTCCATGTTATGCCACAGACACTCTCAAGTGCTTGCAACCTGCGCCATTCCTGTTCGTTTCTGGCATTCCTCGGTGCCAGGAACACAGCAGAAATGTTTCTTATCCATTCGACTCCTTGCCATACCATGGTGTAACACACTAACTACCAAAGCAAAGTGGTACAATACACTTTAAGTATAGAGAGTATCAAATAATAATTCAGAAGAGACTTGGGATGAAAATGGGTAAGGATTTCCAAATAACTACTATAAAAGTTTGAAATTTCCCTCTGTTTTTTATCCTTGATCTGCTACTTACTTAAATGGTTGAAAAATACTGGACTATTTCCAAGCTATAATTTGAGTTTTATAACCTAACTGTATGTTCAAAAGCCTTAGGAAAATCAAGGATGAAAGAGAAACATCATCATGGAAGCATCACGGAGAATTTAACTATAGGAGAAGGTATCATACCCCATAAACCCCAGAACCCAGAGCAAACAAACATGCTCACAATTTTGTCTTCTCGCTCTCCCCATAGTGCCACCCATCCCTGGCCTCAGGCACTAGCAATGTAATGAGATCCCCCTCCTTGAAGCTGAGAAGGGTGCTGTTATCCCCAGCAGCGTGAGAGAAGATGGCCCGCACTCTTGTCCTGCCATTCTTTTCCAGTCCGGCCGCCATGGAGCTGGAACGTGGCAGAGTCTTGTTTTCAGCTAATGAAAAAAAAAAAGAAAGGAAAAACAAATTAGGTATCAGAACCTACTCTGGAAAGAATGTCATAAACTGGCCTAAATTATTGCCATGAAGAAAACTTTCAAAAATCCACAAAAATTAAAAGAAGAGTTGTCCATTCCTCAAAGGCAAAGAATTCATAGAGCTACCAGACAAAAGACATTTTATATCTATTTTCTTCCTTTTTCAGGATTTTTTTAAAGGACAAGAGATAAAGCTGTATTGGAAAAATACAGAAGTGTTACAGACAAAATGTGCCAAGGATCAGAATCCAGGACTTGAAGAGCAACCAGAGTTATAAGAGCTCTCATAACATTGTCAGAGGCAGGAAAGCTACATAACAAAAACCTCCTCTGAAAACCTTTAGATTTTTTGTTGAATCATTTTCAGTAAATAAAAGCTTCTCTATAGTTTTATATTCTGTCCTGTTATGCAAGAACTATTCCAGTTACAAAAGAAATATTTTTGAACAAGCTGTGATTTGAAAAATAGAAAATAGCTCATAGCTGCTGTTCTGTAAATTTACTAAAATGTAATCCCTCCCCAACAATCAATTTCCACTACACAGTCTAGCGCCAAAGGCCACAATGTACGCATGGCAGCTTAAGAACACAAGAAAGGAAGGGATATAAAGGAAGAGCATGCACTGCTCTGCATTCCAATAACACTTCTTAATAATGCACAGCCAGAAAAGCCTCTTACTATTTTATTAATTGTGGGTGATACAAACAACAGGTATTTGGAGTGGGGGGGGGGGGGAAGAGATATTTAATCTTCATCTTTCATAATTGTGCCTTACAGAGTGAAATGTTCAATTCGCATTAAATCCTTTATTTTGCAAGGTATTGAGGACAAAAAAAATCATCTTTCTACACTATTACTTTGTTCAAAAAATTAAATCCTGATAAAGGATTCAAACTATAGGAAAGGAGATTCCATCTGAACATGAGGAAGAACTTCCTGACTGTGAGAGCTGTTCAGCAGTGAAACTCTCTTCCCCAGAGTGTGGTGGAGGCTCCTTCTTTGGAGGCTTTTCAAAAGATGGCTGGATGGCCATCTGTTGGGAGTGCTTTGAATGCGATTTTCCTGCTTCTTGGCAGGGGGTTGGACTGGATGGCCCATGAGGTCTCCTCCAACTCTATGATTCTATGATTCTAAGTCATATACAAAAGAGTTTTTTTGGCAAAAGTTTCTCTCTTGGTTGTGAATGCCAATCCAGTGAGGGAAGGAAGAGATGAGAAAAAAAGGATGAAGGAATTTCCTGGCAGAACATGCACACAGGTAGGGAACAGTGAGCAATCTTTTTTTAGAACCAATGTTGGATACAATTGGATATAGATGCCTGTGCACTATGCCATAAAAATAAGCAGCAATTACACAGTAGGGTAACCATTACACTTGCCCAGTGCCATACGCTTTGCCTCCTGCTGGAGAGTGAGATCACCCAGCTCTTTCCACACCTGATAAATTATAGTAAATATCTGCATCCAAGCTGTCCTATTCAGTATTAGTACATTATTACAGATCCACTTTTCACCAAAGCTTCCAATATTATGCAAAATGGCCAAGAGCACTTCGACGTTCACTAGTAATGAATTGCTACTACACAAGTTTTCACAGGAAATACCCTTCTTAAAATGCATGTACCTTGCAAACTGTCACAGTGAGGAAGGAACAACCTAGCCGGTTTAAGTTTTGTGGCAATCCAGCCTATCTGTCCAATCTGTCAACACGGCTAAATCCAGCCTCTTAGCTATCACTGCGTTAACAATTTCAGCTTTTTCCCCAACAGTAGTTCTTGATACTAGTAATTCTGTCACCATAAAGAAATGTTTGCACCTGCAGGCAAAAGGGACACTCAGACAGCTTTGAATCGTCTTTATGTTTCTATGCCTACTCTCCCATTTCAGCACCTCCATGCTGTGGTAACATCAGATGTGACTGTCACTCTTTGAACCAGTAGGGAGATTTGCTTGGTTGTCCTCATGTCCCCTTCCTCCCACAAGACAAGACTTACTGGCTGCATAGCTGTTTTTCGGCATCACACTTTTGCGCACAGGGAGAGTATTGGAGTAAGAGTCACTCATCTTCTGTGTCTGAGGTGGGGATAAAGACTTTGGCTGAGGAGGCTTCCGGTCAGACCAGTGGTTGTAATCCTCCCCTTCTGAGCCCGAGACACCATTCATCACTGGCATGGTTTCTTGTGCTGACATTCGCTGGATGAAAAAAAAAAAGCAGGGGAGTAAAGTTAACTTTCAGAAAATGTATCCTTTGCCCTGAATCAGGGGCTGAAAACATGCAGCTCTCCAGATGTTGTTGGACTGCAAACTCCATCAGTCCAGTGTCAGCATACCCACTATTGAGGAACACTAGAAATTGTAGTCATAAAAAACACTCCACCCCTGTTTCAAAGATTGCATTCAATTTGGGAATACAGCTAAATGTTAACTCTTCAAAGTATGAATGATATGCAAGCAGGTTTAATTCACTCTTTGCTTTTTATTTCATAAAAAATAATGAGTTTTAAAAAGCCACTTTTTAGACATTTTGATTTTACCCTATGAAAATAGTTGTTCTGTGTATATGACTCTACTGCAGTGTACTAGGTTTCCAATCATTCTGGCCTTTTCAAAGAAATCCTAAATCAGAATCTGGCCTTTCTTGGAGCAGGAACATTTGGCCATCTGTATTTCAGTCCAGGATAATTCTATCCCCTGATTCCTGGAAGAAGGAAGAAGCACAAAGCCTCTCCTTATCCAAACTTTTGAGGACAGTCATAAATACAATACTCACTCCAACAAAAGGTGCCAGTTCTGGTGGGACTGGGAGTGGCTTGGCACCAGGGATGGGATCTGAGATGATGAGGTTTGACTTGGATGTGGAGAGAGGGCTGGGCATAATCGTCCCATTGCTGCTGAGGGCCATCTGTTGCATCAGCTGGATAGCACGGTCAGGGATCTTGTTGGGGTCAGCACAAGATTGCTGCCATAAGGGAAGCTTCTGTGTCAAGATGTCTTTTCCCTGAAGTTACCAGAGAGAGAGGGAGAGAGTGAGAGAGAAATGCATGCAACTATATAGTGAAAACATAAGGAGACACATAGTTTTGTCAAAAGAGGGCCCTCCATAATATCTGAGTGAATAACTTTTGACTTCCAAGAAAAAACGAGGCTATCAAGAATATGTAGCTCACAGACATACACTTGGATTTACTCCAGCTAGAAAACTAAATGGGATTTACCCTGAATGAGTGTAAACATGATAAAAAAACCTAATAAAATGCAATCAATATGTGGCTACAACAGTTGATAGTCCAGTTAAAAGTGCAGATGACAATAACAAAGAAATAACAGGACAATATAATTTTTTGTAGCCCACTGTGGAAAGATCTGATTCGATAAAGTCCATCTGAGAAATATGAACTAGAATGGTTCTGGGCAAGATCTCATTCTGGGCTCCTTTTTTTGTAAAGGGAACAAATTCATCATTTCCAAAACCAGCCACTCTGCTCTCACAGTCATAGGGTTTGGGGCAGTTGCTGTTGTCACCACAATGAAACTAAAGCATTTAAGACATTAACATTTTCTCCAACAAAATTATAGCACAAAAACAAATAAGTTTGTGCATGTTCATATTCATTTATTAAGAATGTTGCTTATTAGGTTCTTGTGAGTTTTTTCGGGCTATAGAGCCATGTTCTAGAGGCATTTCTCCTGACGTTTCACCTGCATCTATGGCAAGCATCCTCAGAGGTAGTGAGGTCTGTTGGAATTAGGAAAATGGGTTTATATATCTGTGGAATGGCTGGGGTGGGGCAAGGAGCTCTTCCCTGCTGCAGTTAGGTGTGAATGTTTAGCTGATCACCTTCATTAGCATTTGAAGGCCTGCCTGAGTCTGGGAAAATCTGTTGCTGGGAGGTGTTAATCTGTGCCTGGTTTTTTCCTCTCTGTAACAGCTAAACAACAGAGAGGAAAAAAACCAGGCACAGATTAACACCTCCCAGCAACAGATTTCCCAGGCTCAGGCAGGCCTTCAAATGCTAATGAAGGTGATCAGCTAAACATTCACACCTAACTGCAGCAGGGAAGAGCTCCTTGCCCCACCCCAGCCCATTCCACAGATATATAAACCCATTTTCCTACTTCCAACAGACCTCACTACCTCTGAGGATGCTTGCCATAGATGCAGGCGAAACGTCAGGAGAAATGCCTCTAGAACATGGCTCTATAGCCCGAAAAAACCCACAAGAACCTAGTGATTCCAGCCATGAAAGCCTTCGACAATACAATGTTGCTTATTGTTTCACGACACAGCAGGGACCCCAAGAAGACATATGACAGATACAAACTTTCTTTAAAATACATATAATTAAAACATTCACCAAAGTCAACTTAATTTTTAGGAATGAAAGACTGTGTAGACTGTACTGTCTCAGCTACCTGTTGGATGCTTAGAAGGGAAGAAGCCAGCCTTCTAAGTCTAATGTATTCACCAAACTAGCATCAAAAACATATTAAGTGTTCAATATCCTGATAAACATAGGGCTGGTTGAAAAAGCCTAGGACTCGCATTATAATCACACACACACACACACATAGGTTCTTCACTCCAGTGCCTGTTATGCAAAGATTATTCCATCCTTTTTCTCTCTGTATCTCTTCAACAAAGAAGAATCTCAATGTAGCAGAAAGGGAGTGCGTCACTACTTTTTAGTGGCATGCTTTCAGCATGTTAAAGGGCTGAAGCAACACACTTTTGGTGAGGAAAAGCTTTTATAACAAAGCATGTCTACAAGAAATGCAAGTAAACAATAGGTTAATTAGCCAGCTATGGTCAATCCCCAAATGTAGGGCAGAGCTGAGAGCAAACAAATAAGCAAAGGTTTACAGGTTTGTGGGGAATAGGAGACTTGACATCACTATTCTTCCTCTTTGTCTTCTTCAATGGATGGAGATTTATTTAGCAGTTCCCTATTCTGAAGCAGAACATCAAGGATGGACCTTTCCGCACTCTAGATTTCACACACAGTTCCGCACTTGAATCATTTCAAGGATGCCCATGTCATATCTTGAAATTATTCAAAACCTTCAGTTCCTGTCCTATCCCTAGGATGAAATGGTAGGAAGACAAAGTGTGTGGCATACATCCATGTTCACTTCAAAATCTGTTCATCTAGGCATCAAGAATGCTTTGCTTTCCACATGACCTAACAGAGGGCGCACTGTTCCACTTATTTAGCCATCACCCCACCCATGAAACATTAGGACATACTCCTTTTTTCAGCTCTCCCAATGGCTCAATACTCGGGTACAATGGCAAGGGACAAAAGGAAAGGTGGCACTACTACATATAGGGCATTTCCTCTGGATGGGGCAGGTTGGGAGTCATGGATATACTTTGTACACAGTACTTTGGTGCACAACAGCAGGATGCCATTAAGACACAGTGCTGGTTACTAGGCTGCACAGATCGCATGCTATGCAGCTCTACTCCATAGCAACAACAAGTGTGTATAAGGGCTTTGGCAAGCTCTTGCAAGGTGTGTGTGTGTCAGGCGATAGAGGATTAGTGCAAATGCCAACATGCAAATGTCATCCAGCTACTTTTTGTTTTTAAATAAAAATATGAAAAATGTCATCTTTCACAGAGGTTTTAGTTCTAGAATGCTTGAAGAAACAGTTTCTAAACAAGCTGGTGATTGTCAGTGAAATGGAGGACAGAATCTGACAGGCTGGCTTTAAAAATAATTCATCTTGTTGATTCTTAGCTCCAAAAATTCTCCATCATTGTTAATCATGATAGTGCAATTGTTGCATTAATCAATATGGAAATCTTGTAAATGAAGCCCTATGTGGTCTGCACACTGGGTCTCTAATCTCAATCAGCAAACCAGTGCTCTTCTTCCAGTGGACCCCCCCCCCCCCTCCAATCTGCAAATGAAAGCTCACTTTACTGGAAACTCTTCTCAGGCTTTAAGCAACTTACTGTCAGTTATGCCAAAACATTCATTATGGGCCCTGTTAATTTTAACACATAATGTGACATAAATCCCTCTTGTAATTAAAAAAAACCTGAAATAGATTAAACCAACACCTTCTGTTTAAAATAATATTCTCAAGTTCTGATGAGGAGCAGACTTTGCTACAAAGAAGCATGGGGATAGCCCACGGGAGTGACCTTTGATGCAAGTAGTAGCTTTGTTTGAATTGTAAAGGATAGAGAAGGAAGGAAAGGGAGACAAAGGGAGAGGAGGAGAAACTCCACCATTAAATGGGGGTCTCACTTCAACCACAAATTCATTATTATTATTATTATTTATTTATTTGAGTATTTGTATACTGCCTTTCTCAATCCCAAAGGGGACTCAGGGTGGTTCACAGTATTGTCAACAATTCAATGCCATCGATAAAAAATAGTATAAAACATCAAAATTGACCCTCTCCTGATAAAACATATAAACATCATTAAACACATCATATAAAATAATATCATATATCAGACAAGGACATAGCCATTGTCTGTAATCAGTCTGTGCAAATCTCCAAAAGGAACAAAAAGATCTATAGAAAAACTTATATCCACTTGTATAGCAGTAGTCAAAATAAAAGCAAGTCTCTTGCATCAGATCAGAGCTTTGAAAATTGTTTTCCAAAAATAATTCCTTTTGTAACAGGGAGCAGTGTTTTAACAATAACCTGTAGTCATTATTCATTACAAAGATGAAAGAAAGTAACTTGTTATGGACTGCTTATTGCTTTCCACTACCTTTTTCCAAAAGGGAAAAAAAAATCTTTAGGACCTCTAAGAGGACGACATGAAAAATTCTTGTGAAAATGCCCATTACAAATCTTCTTTAAAATTTATTTTGAAAACAACTAGTAACCAGTCATTTGATTCATACATGGGTTGTTGTGAGTTTTCCAGGCTGTATGGTCATGTTCCAGAAGCATGTTCCAGAATGTTTCTGGAACATGGCCATATAGGCTGGAAAACTCACAACAACCCGGTGGTTCCGGCCATGAAAGCCTTCGACAAGAGATTCTTACATGGTTCGTTGATTATGCAATGTGGCTTCAGGACCTAACAAAAGCACAGGTTACAGGTGTGTGTTTCTTGTTAACTCACTGTTTCCAAGCCTTGCCTTATGCTGGCTGGAAATCAGTCTCCAGGTCCAGCCATTAGACTTTTGGCACCAAGGATCTGCTTCTAGTTTCTTCCAAAACAGCAATTTCTAAAGGACAAGTAGACCTTTATACTATAAGCTCTGCAGGATAGTCACCATACTTCTATCCACAGTGTAGTGTAATAGCCAGAGTGCGGAATTGAGTACTCCCAAGTCCAATTCCTCCTGAGGGATGAAATTTACTGGATGACTTTAGGCCACTCTCTGTCAAGCAGACCTACCTCACAGAGTTATTGTGAAGATAAAGTGGGGAAAATGGGAGCAATTTACAATTCCTTCAGCTCATTTAAGGAAAGAAAATGAAATGTCATTGAGAGGCCTGTAGCCAGGATTTTGATTTTGAGGGGGGGGGGAGTGCTGAGTTTGATTCGGGGGGGGAGCTGAGTTTGATTTCGGGAGGGGGGGGCTGAGGATCTACCCTAGCAAACCTTTTGTATTGTTATCCCAATACCCCCATGCATATGGGATATATTGAGCATGGTGATCAGATCATGATATGAAAAATTTGCCGACCACCCTGAGAATTTCGGGGGGGGGGTGGGGAAATAAACTCTGCCTGACCTGTTGTGTGGTTCGTATTTGGGGGATAGCAATGTGTTTTGTGTGTTTGTTTGAAAAAAAAAAGTGGGGATCGGTGGGGGTTCTCAAGCCCCCCCCACCCCCCACCCCCCCCCCCCCGGCTACATGCCTGGTCACTGATAAATGCTTAGTAATAAAAAAGCCTCTCTGATGTAATTACACTAAAAAAACTGCAGGGTCTAACATATATGTGATTAGTGCAGTATGTTTACTGAGTACATTATCTACTAAGGAATGTATAACAGCATTTGTTGTTCTTGCTGTTAACTGCTTTCAGGTGAACTTTGATTTATGTTGATCTCATGAACAACAGACCTACAAGTCACCCTATCATAAACAACCATGCTCTGGGCCGTGGCTTCCTTGCTTGAGAATATCAATCTGAAACTTGGGCATTCTCTTTTCTTACAGCTTTCTACCATATCAAGCATTATTGTCTTTTCTATGAGTCATGTCTCTCATCATATGGCCAAAGTATGACAGTCTCACAGACAATCCAGGCTTAATTTGCTCTACGATTCATTTATAGCTGCGAGAAAGGAGGAGTTATATTTAAATCAATAGTGCTGAAGAAAAGAGAGGTTAAAAAAGGGAGAGGTAACATAAAGAGTACACTGAAGGGCATGTGTGCTTTCTTATGAAACAGTGCTTCTATCCATTCATGAATTGATATAGCCCTGAAAATTGTATTCATATGAGTTTTGAAAGCTGAGTTATTATCCATATCCAGTTTCTTAAGAACCATGTTTGGAGCATCATCTGTCGAACTGTATCCTTAAGAAATCATTCCAGTGGTCTGTCTGGCATGTGTGTGAAACAGCTCCAATCTTACCTTGGAGTGGTACGTAAGAGCATGTTTGGCCACAGCGCACTGCTTCTCCACCAGGAAACAGAATCGTCGCCTTTCTTCTGTGAGTGCTGTTTTGTACCCATCCGACACATAGTTCTCGAGCTCACCTTGCTTGTTGGTGATAGCTTCAATAAACTGGGAAAGAAAGAGAGAACATCCATAAAGATATCTGAACCCCAACGACTAAAAAAATCTGTTGTTCATGCTGAGAGAACACATTGTTCGGTGAGATAAACACAGCAGGATCTTTCATATGGCATGTTCTTGATGCCACTCACAGAAGGAAAATAATGGGAATGCGCAAGATTCTGGTTCTTTATGCGGTTCGGTTGAAGACGGGCAGCAGGGGGCAGTAGGCAACAGAGCATGTGCGGACTCCCGAATATGTATCTGTTGCTCCCCCTCACCAGGCATCCTTAGTCATCTGACCTCCCCCACACAAAAGCTCCTGACTCAGAACGTGGGCTTCAGATGTTGTGTGGGTGGCAGAAGAGCAAAGAAATTCTCTCAGCCTCCCTCCCACTTAGCCGGCACCTGGGTAGCACTCTCATTTTCTAGTGCCAATTGTTGCAAACTGACAAAGTTGCCTGCACAAGGCTAAAGCGCTCGAAGGAGGTTTCAACTCAGGGGAGAGAGGGCTTAAACATAGCTTTCAACTCTTGCTCACTGGATGGGGAGAATTAACTCTGTCATGCTGGTGGGGATGAGCGAAGGAGGAAGGCCTCCCTTAACAGCAAACTGAGCAATGTAAGCGTGGCAAAGTAACCTTGACTTCATCTCACTCACAAATTCCTCCTGACTCCCACGGACAACAGGATGATATAATAACTGTCTGAATTCTCCCAGTGATCCCTTTAGAGACTGATCTATCCATTAACACAAACAATATCCACCCCACCACCCCCCGCAAATTTACACCAAGTCTTGATACAGTGACTTATAGGATTATCCACTTTTGAACTCATCAGATGGCTTTAGGGCCATGTTCTGCAAAAATGGAGCACCACGGAGGACATCATATGATGTAAGAGCACTCACCATAAGACTCTGTGGGGCTCTGTTTCTGCAGCACATGGAAACGGAGCACTAAAACTGTCTTCAGGAGTTGGGTGTTACCAAACTCGAAATGGCTCAAAATGGGGAAAGATGGGGGAAGTATGTGAGATAGATAACCAACCCATAAGACAGGAAAAGCAGTAGAGAATGAAGGATAATGATTTCCTACACTCCCCCCCCCACCCCCGGTCTCCTAAAATCCGGCCACCCAGGTGTCCTCTCCTTCTTCTGCCAGGGTCTTAGGGGCATCCAACTCCTACATTTGGCTTTTCTGAATTAGAGGCCATTTTCTCAGCACTGGAACTATTATTTTGCTCCAACTGAGGACACCTTGTACCCTCTGAGGTGGGGACTGGAGACAGTTGCTCCTGAGTTTGTGTTATACAGAGGGGCACACCTCTCTGTCTTACCATGGTTTCTCTCTAGTGTTTCTTGTAAGTCCTGTCCAATTAATGAGACTCATGCTGTGAGATCCATCTTTCATTCCATAGTGGACTCAAGCTGAGCAGCCCTTGACCAATACCCTCTGCCTTCCTTTAATGTTGCCAAATATATTTAGTCTTCTTCTTTCCAGACAGGAAGAGAAGGCTCCACGTCTCCACTGATGTTTGTGCGCACTTTCTTTGTTCTTCATAATGCCTTTTTTTCACTACTCTGAAGTGTTGAGATAATTAGCAAGATTGATCAAAAATACTTTTAGTCAATTAAAAAGGTGCCCAAAACTACACTGGACAGCAAAAAAGGGGAAAAGCACAGAAGGTGTAGTAACAAAAGAAGACTAAGCAACGAAATAATAATAATGTAAGCCCCTCGCTGCCACTACCACCACCCCCAAAATCCCTGGAGGCAAGCTGTTGGCATTATCTTAGAAGTAGCATAATCCCCTGAAGAGAGAGAGAGAAGACAGAGATAAAAGAGAACACTCTTTCTAAAATGATGCTTCTTCTGTTACAACTATGCTTGGTGCTGAAAGTGAAGTCTATGCCGAACTGGCAATACATGGGCTACTTTTGCCTACCCATATCTTGCCAACCTGAGGGTGCTTGCTTTCCAGCCAACATTTACATGTTGCTATAATATGCAAACATTTGTCTTTATGTAAAGGGAAAGAAAAAATGCCACTTTCCTTTCATTGCTGTAGGTTACACCCATAGCTTTAAGCAAGTCACGTACAGATGTTTTCATTCAAAGTCATATCTCTTACTGTATTATATACATACATTACAGATTTTCCTGAATATCTCTGACAATTTCTTCTCAATCACCTAGTATCTGTGAGGAAAAATATAAGGGTGTTTGATCCTAAAAAGTGTTACATTGGGACTTTCAGAGAAATGAATAAATTTCACTTCCCTAGACTACCCATACATCCCTATTAAGATTACAGTAACACCCCAATAATTGTGGAGCCCATATCCATAGTTTCACTTTCCCAAAGCTTGTGAAAACAGATCTGTCTAGAACAGTGTGCTTCAGCTGTTTTAGACTCCAACTCCCAGAAATCACCAGATGTTAGGAATTGTGGGAGCTGAAGTTCAAAACATCTGGAGGACCAAAGATTGGGAATCACTGGTCTAGAAATTTGTTCCCCTTAATACAACCGTACTTTTTTCTTTTTAACTATATGTATTTGAAAAATGTGAATAAAGATCATTTAGAAATTTGTTCCCTGTAATTCCATGGTATGCTTCCTCCATAAATACCATAGACTTGTACTGGAGGATGTAGCAAATTCCTACAGAGGATAGTTCTCTAGGCCCTCCAGGGAAACTCTGGGACCAAAAATCAGGTAATTTAATGGCATCTGGTTGAAGGTAACCACAGTCCAGCTGGAAATGTATCGCCCAAAGGTATGGGTCTTGTTTCACTGTTCCCTAAAGAATAAACACATTTCGCATGTACACTGTTTTGGGGGAATATTAAATAAACAATGTCTTGCGTCACATCCATCAGTCCGTAACAGCACACCTTCCCAAGGACACTTGCCACTTGTCCTTGGCTCTCACTTAGCACTATATTGTTAAGATACATGTGTCTACTCAACACTGACTGATCAGAACACATTAACTGGCCCACCAATAGTCACAGAGAAACATCCGAACCACATTTTATTTCTTCACTTCTAAAGATTTACCAGCCTCTGTAGGCAAATGCCATATTTTACCAGTATATGAAGGAAACCTGATTATTCACCAATGGTTTTGACTTTTACTGAGAAATGCTACTTATAACAGCAATTGGCAACATTTAGAGAATTTCAAGGAATCCATCATATGGTGCTCTTTTTGTCCTTGGCGGTTCTGCTGTACTTCGGAGTGGCTTTCGATGCCATCAGTTATGAAATCCTTCTGAAATAACTGGGAGGCACTGTTTTGCAGTGGTACTGATGGAAAGGCAAACTCTGAAAGTAGTGCTTACAGGACCTCCCAAGGCTTGATTTTGTCTCCCATACTATGAAAAATCTACATGAAATCATTGGGAAAGATTATCCAGAGTTTGGTGGCTGGATCTCGCTAATACAAATAGTCTCCGGGCTAAAAGCAAGATAGGTTCTGTAAGTTTGTTCTTAAGTTGAATTTGCATGTAAGTTGGAACACGTACATTTTCAAAGTGTTTGTGTGTGCGCGCATGTGTGCGCACACATGCTTTGGACAACACAGGGATGGGTTAACACCCCTGTGGTATTTGTTTTGCTGTTCAGAAGATTTCACCTCACTTTCTGTTGCTGTGATAATTGATTATGAAAAATTGGGCTTTTTGTAGAAACAAGGATTGGCGAGGAAGCTTCAATGGAGACACCTTTTCCCCATGATAACTCTTTCAGGAGTAAATTTCCCTTCAAAGGGCTAGATTTCTCTCACTTCCTGTTGTCTCACCCCTGTTCTTAACTGTGAGTTGTTTGTAAGTTGGATGTTTGTAACTGTGAGTTGTTTGTAAGTTGGATGTTTGCCTGTGCGTATACTAATGATAGACAACTCTATCTTTCCTTTCGTATTGAATTCCAAGATAGACAGTTTTAACCAGTGTCTGTTCTAAGCAATAGACTAGATGAAGGTTAAAAAGATGAAGTTTAATCTAGACAGGACAAGAAGTTCTCTTAACCAGTTGAAAGACAGATAAGGAGGCGGGAATATTGCCTGTGATTGGTTTTCACTCTCTATGAAATCTGAGATTCTCAACTTGGACATACTCTTGGCTTCAACCTGAACTCAGGGGACCAGGTCTCAGTAGTTGCTAGGACAGGTTTTGCACAGTTAAAGCTAAGGCATCAGCTTTACCTATTCCTGGAAATATCAGATCTGGTCATGATGACTCAACCCTTGGTTACATCCCTTTTGGATGACTATAACGCACTCAACTGGCTTTCATAACTGTTTAGAAATTGCAGAAGGCCAAAAATGTTGTGGATAGCCTTATTTCTAGGGTTGGCTATAGAGAACACCTAACTCCCCTGTTGAAACAACTGTATTATTTATTTATTTATTTATTTATTTATTTATTGTATTTATATACCGCCTTTCTCAGCACGAAGGCGACTCAGAGCAGTTTACATTTGGCACAATTTGATGCCCCCAACAACATAAAAACACTTTAAAACATTAGCATATAAAATATAAATTCATATAAAGTCAATAAAAACAATAAAAACATATATCCTCAGTGTCTCCTTACTGAAATCATTATTCAATCATATTGTCCACTCGTTCCGTGGGTCTATCTCTGCCTGTTACATTGTGTTTACAAATGCTTGCTTGAAAAGCCAGGTTTTAACATTTTTGCGAAATGTCAAGAGTGAGTGGGCCAGTTTAATATACCTGAGAAGGCGTTCCACAGCCGAGGGGCCACCACTGAGAAGGCCCTGTCTCTCATTCCTGCCAAATGCATCTGTGAAGAAGGCAGGGCCAAGGGCAGGGTCTCTTCAGGTGATCTTAAAGTCCTAGACTGACTACTAGTCCATTTCTGGGTACAACATAAAAGACTGGTGTTGACCTATATAACTTATGCTCAGACTATCTGAAAAGTATTTCCTAAGTTTTAATGGGGGGGAGGAACTGCCTCTCAGTCCCAGCACCATAACA